CGCCCCCCGCGCCCACCCAGCCGCTCACCCACACCGGCTGCACCGCCCCCTCCACCGCCGTCCTGGAGCAGAAGGCGGGGTGCGCGCGGCGTCCTGCAGAAGAAGCCGGGGTCGGCGCGGCGCTTCTCCTCGCCCCAGCGGATCATGTCCTGCCGGTACCTCTCCTTGTAGGCGCTGGCGTCCAGGAGCCGCTGGAAATCCAGGCCGTGCTCCTGCGGGGAGAGGGCGTCAGCAGGCACGGCCCGTGCCGCGGCGCGGCAAGGCAGGGCTCGGCACCGGACGACAGCGCAGCACGATATGGCACGGCACGGCAAGGCAGGGCTCAGCACAGCACGACAGCGTGGCACGGCGCAGTTGAGCGTGGTGCGGCATGGCACGGCGTGATGTGGTGTGGCATGGCATGGCACGGTGCGGCACGGCACAGTGCGGCGTGGCGCAGCTCAGCATGGCGTGGTGCAGCACGGCACGGCGCAGCGTGCGTGGCACAGCGTGGTGTGGCATGGCACAGCTCGGCACGGTGTGGCACAGCCTGGCACAGCACAGCATGGTGCGGCACGGCACAGTGTGCCACGGCGCAGCACAGTGCGGCATGGCACAGCTTGGGACGGTGTGGCACAGCACGGCACAGCTCGGCACAGCGCAGCATGGCACAGCCAGGCACAGTGTGGCACAGCCTGGCACAGCACAGCACGGTGTGGCATGGCACAGCGTGCCACGGCGCAGCACGGTGCGACATGGCACACCTCAGCACGGTGTGGCACGGCATAGTGTGCCATGGCACAGCATGGTGTGGCACGGCACAGCTCGGCACGGTGCAGCACAGCACAGCCAGGCACGGTGTGGCACAGCATGGCACAGCACATTGTGGCACGGTGCAGCATGGTGCGACACGGCACACCTCAGCACGGTGCGGCACGGCACAGCGTGCCACGGCGCAGCACGGTGCGGCACGGCACAGCTCAGCACGGTGTGGCACAGCACGGCACAGCACGGCGTGGCATGGCACAGCTCAGCACGGTGCGGTGCAGCATGGCACAGCGCAGCACGGCGCAGCGCGGCACGGTGCAGCATGGTGCGGCATAGCACAGCCGGGCACGGTGTGGCACAGCACGGCACGGCACAGCTCGGCACGGCGCAGCACGGCACAGCCGGGCACGGTGTGGCACAGCACGGTGTGGCGCAGCGTGGCACGGCGCGACGTGGCGCGGCAGGGCGTGGCAGGGCGCGGCAGGGCCGGTACCTTGGCGTAGCGCTCCTTGAGGGGCCCGGAGAGGCGCAGCACGGTGCACACGTCAGGGCCCAGCCTACGGG